CTTTCTGGCATCCTGCTTATCCCTTAGTTACGCTGTAATAGATCTAGGCTTATCCACAGCATGTCTTTGTCTTCAATGGATGAAGAGCAATATTGGCCAAACAGCACTAACTAAAATGGGGATTTATTTTTAACATATTAAATTGAAATTGTTTTTGGTTTTATTGGATCATTTATTTAGAAACTGGAAAATATGGCATGAAAAATATGTTGTTTTATAAAAATATGTTATAATATTCTTGTTAACGAGGTAGTTACATTTTCTTGGAAGAAAAAAAGAAACTTTTCTGTTTTTTTCACAAATAAAACTCTGAATGTAACCATGAGGTCAACTCCAATTTGGTCTATTCAGAGTAGTCTTAAGCTGTAGTTTTTAATTTACACATAGTTGCCAAATTTGTTAAATCTGTAGACATCTTTAATGTGAACATCTGACATTATCGCATTCAAATAAGACCAAGCAAAGAAAATTATCAAAATTTAACAAAAGAAATGTGCTTGTGTTGATACATACCTTTGTAAAAATATCTGTAGAGATATAAAGATCCTCCAGTAACACAGGCGACCAGTAGCAAAGTTATTACACTTGTAACAGCTATCACAGTGGCCGTACTGTGGAGCGCCTCTGATGGAGCTGAAGGAAAAGCACATGAAAGTAACATAGTAAATATTAAATGGTTCTCATGTCGTGCTTTTCTTCTCTACTGGAAAACTCAAGTGAACTACAGGCGCTTTTGCTTTGTACTTTTTTGTGCTTCCTGTCTAACATTCACACTCATACGCCAATGGACACATCAGAAAGCAACTTTTGGTTCTTGCCCAAGGATACTTTGCCATGCAGACTGGAGCAGCCAGGGATCAAACTATCAATCTTCTGATTACCTGCGCTACAGTATACCACTATGTATCTATGAAATCAAGCGATCCAAAGAATAAATAAATAAAATCCCACCTTGAACAGCCAGTGTTACAGATCGGTTGTACAGACCATTGTAGGTCTGGTGCTCAACTTGGCAGATGACATGTATTTCTCCACCCCGTAGAACTGAGGAGTGCAGCGTGATGCCACTACGAATGCTGTAGGTGCCATCTGGATTGTGTACAGCCAGCTCATTGCAGACACGGGACAGTTGGCCCAAGCCTGCATGGATGGTCTGGGTGCCATTTTGGATCAGCCACGTCACAGCCACTTTCTCTGGGTAGAAACCTGTTACATCACACTGTATGGTTTTCTCCTGTCCTTCTCTCACTGTTGCCTTTTCTGGGAGCAACACTGAAGGCAGAGCTGAAGGTGTACGGTTCAGAAACAGATATTACAGTGTTATCATTAAAATTATTTAAAATGACTGTGTGACAATTTGCACAAAAATGGATATAATGTCACTAATTGTTGAAGCTTTGAAGACCATAAAGTCCTAAGTAACACATTTATTATTAATCAAGTGAGCAGAGAAAGTACACCCTCGTTCAATGCTAATGTTTTATAGGCATAATAAAAATATCCAGTAAAGACAATCACAGATTAACATGGCATGTTACGCCATTATTTATCTAACAAAAACTAAGCCAAAATGCAAAACCACCTTTAGCTGCACCCATCCATCGCTTATGTAACGAATGACCACTGTACAGGATTCAGTACAGCCCAAGTTTGTTATTTTCATTTATCAAAGCTTAACATGGAAGCTCTGGCAGATCTCCATACCATGCTGCTGATAAGCTGCACCCTGGAACTTTTACAACTTTGAGACAGTTCATTTAGGTTTGCAGGCAACTGTTTGTGCACATATACATGTATATATATATATATATATATATATATACACATGTATATATATATATATTACTGTAAATCCTATGAGAATACTACCTTTTTATAGTTCAGCCTGTTCCACAGGGTCACCTTGTTTAAACTTTGAGAATAAATTCATGCATGCATAAACTTCATACAGCCTGATGTCTTAAACAAAAATAACCTGCAGCTTGTCTGTTTGGTGAAGCTCGCTGACATCTGAAATGTCACATTTTAAATTACCTGCAACTTCACTTTAAAGTTTCTCCTTTTTTGTATTATTAAGCCAGATAAACACTGTGGCTTTCTTGGCCCATATAACTCTCAGGCGTACCGAGCACTTTCAGAGCAGTGGACTCTGTGTAGATCAGAGGGTTGATGACTCTGCAGGTGTACAGCCCTTCATCTCCTACAGTGACATTATGAAGCTGCAGCGACGCATCACTCTGACGCAGGCGCGTTTCATTCACCACAGAGCCTTCTTTGTACACATGAGCTCTTCCATCTTCCAGCGTGTACACCATGCTCTTCTTTGCGTGTTTGTCCACCATGTTCCATTCAATACTAAGAGCACTCCACTCCACTAGCTTATGCGGCGTGTCGAACATGCAGCTGAGCGTTACCTTATTGCCCACTAAGACACGGAGCTCTCTGGTGATCTCAGCCAAGGAACCTGGAGGGAGTCATGTAGACTATGAGAAAGGACAGAGCTGTCATTTACAAGCCGGAACACTGACAAACACTCACCTTTACAGTACAAGGCAAGAACCATGAGTTTAATCGTCATGTTTGTAATACGCTGCTGATCCATGGGGTCTCAGATGTTACCGTCACTGTAAATTAAAAATGAAAGCGACATGTGACACATTCGTTTTTACTTGGGTGTGTTCGCACAATTCAAACACAGTTAACTAAAGATCACGTGGTGCGTTACAAATCCTGTGTTAATAAGCCTGGTTGTGGTGGCTAAACATTCACCTTAAGTGTTTGCTTATCAGTCATAGTGCACCTCCTCTTGGACTTTGACCTGCCTACCTGACTTCTAGTGCCATTCAGACTCAGAATTTTAACTGCAGAAGAAAACCAAAGAGGCACAAGGAGAATCTGCAAACACTATCCACAAAGGCTCCAGCCAACCAT